AGGGTTACCCTTATTTGGCCTTACAAGTTCTGTGTGTGTGTGTGTGTGTGTGTGTGTGTGTGTGTGTGAGAGAGAGAGAGAGATACAATTAACATTTCCTTTCACTAAAGCTCCCAAGGAAAAGTTGATATAATTCAATAAATTTTGTATTTTTATTATTGCAAAATAAAAGACTGAGGCAAAAAATATGAGTAAAGTTTTTCTAGTATCAACAGCATTAGAAGACTAAAATTATTATATTAAGCATCATGGCATTAACAACGTAAACTAAGTACACACACAAAGTACATCTTTGAAAACGAACGTATACACGTACTTACCTGATCCCTAATTTGGGAGGTGAGGTGCTCAGCATCTCCTGTAAAATGTTCGAATCTGTGTTTGTAGATTTTGGACGCCTTTTTCAGAGCTATAACCTTTTGCTTACTTGCTTCTTGCATGGCTGCAGCCTCATGCTTATTTGTTCTCAACTGCAAGTTCCATTTGGCTATTTTGGTTTCTAAGCTCTAAAAAAAATATTAACAATTTAATTATTTCAGAAAGCCAATGTTTGCATAAACATCATAAAAACATGTATATCATCTGCACAGATCTTATCGAAACAGCTAGTCCTAAGATGAATAAAAGAAAAAAATGTGAAGAAAGATGATTTCAGCCATGTTTCTTTGTAACCAGTTATAAAAATTATAATTTTAAAATATTGAAATTTACATAAAACTAATGCTACCTTATTAAATAGACTAATATTGGTGGCTATGATATAAATACTATCTTCTTTAAAATTTCTGTGATTTATTAGGACATCTTTAACTTCATATCTAGAATGACACATAGAAATAGTTTTAAAAACTAATTTAAAAATTGATCTGGAAATTATCCAAATAAGAGGCATGCAGAGTTCAGAACGAACTGGTAGCTCCCAAAATATACTAGTACTCTTTAGTTTCAATGATAAAAGCTTAATCCTCAAATACATTAGTATTTTTTATTGGGAAAGATAAAAGCTTAAGGAAGATATGATCAAAATTATGAAGGGTAAAAATGAGATGAACATAGACTTACCAAATTTTAATTTACTCAAATTAAGGAGCATGCCCAGACACTGGAATAAAGTTACATTAAGGACAATAAAAGCACTATTTTACTCAATGAGTGGTACATTTTTGGAGGTAATGATTGACTCCAACACTAAACACATGTTTAGGTAAATCAGTGACTATTGTATGTATAATATCAGTAAAGGTAAAAACATCACTGAGGACAGGCTCTTACTAGTTGAGTGTGATTACGTTAACCGGCATGATCATCTCTGATGTATTTCTTGGTAACATAATGAAAGAATCTTATTACTCTAGGGGGATAATGGATCTGACTTAGTGTGACAGCTTTCATGTTTTTATTTTAAATTATTTTAAGATTTTTGTATTGAAAGTATCTGGGTATTATATATGTAAATGTTAAAGACAAAATTTTAATGCTTTTACATTTTTGAGGATATGTAATACTGAAAAGAATGTGAAATTATTACAGAATTTGGGTTCTAGTCTTTTATGCCCCAGACAGTCATTTTAGTAAAAAAAATTTCAAAGGAGTCACAGAAAAGACGGGGCTTTTCAATTCTGTATCACAAAAACCAGACGTCTTAACTGTCACTAACAAAGCACATTTTTGGATTTAGCTTTGATCTCTTTTTGAAAGGTGACTGGGTAAACTAATAGAAGTAAAAGCACATTCTTAAGCTGTCTTTAAAATATTGCATGCCTGTAATCCCAGCTGCTGAGGAGGCTGAGGCAAGAGAACTGCACGTTCCACGAAGGCTTGTGAGACCTGTCTCAAAATAAAAATTTAAAAAGCGGTGGGTGTGTAGCTCAGTGGTACAACGCTTGCTAAGCACAGGTTCACTCCCCAGTACTGAAAAAAAAATTTAAAGTAAACTAAAAGTCTTATGAAAGATTGCACTGAGTAGCTGGGGGAAAAACAAGAACAGGACAGCAAGTCTCTACACAAGAGAAAAGACCACTGCACAGAAAATATAACTGTCATTCCTCTTACAAGCCACCGGGTGTCATCATTGTACCATGAATACAGTAAATGCTACACGTAAGTAAAAATCCTTTCATGTTTGATAGTTTAAGTAAAAAGATTTTTTTTATAAAACAATCTTATAGGGGCGGTCTTTTCCGAAGACCTGGCACGATGGTGGAAGTGGAGCAGAAAAAGCGAACCTTCCGCAAGTTTACGTACCGCAGCGTGGACCTCGGCCAGCTGCTAGACATGTCCTCTGAACAGCTGACGCAGCTGTACAGTGCAAGGCAGAGGCAGCAGCCGACCCGATGCCTGCGGCGAAGCAGCACCCGCTGCTGAAGCACCTTCCCAAGGCCAAAAAGGAGGCACCACCCATGGAGAAGCCCCAAGTGGTGAAGACACACCTTCGAGGCGTGATCATCCTGCCTGAGATGGTGGGCAGCATGGTGGGCAAGGTCTGCAATGGCAAGACCTTCACCCAGGTGGAGCCTGAGATGATCGGCCACTACCTGGGCGAGTTCTCCATCACCTCCAAATCTGTGAAGCAGGGCCGGCCTGGCATCCGGGCCACCCACTCTTCACGCCTTATCCCCCTCAAGGAGCCACCTGGCCCATAAAGCCACCACTGCCCCCTCCCAAAAAAGACAAGCATAGAACTGGATTTTCTCACTTTTTATCATATCCTAAATTTAGCAAACTATCAGGAAGTGTACTGAAACGATCAAAATATCTTCTTAGTTTCACAGAAAATCCTCAGTCATTTGCCAAATGAATGGACATACTTTAAGTCTATCATTGGCTTTTTTCCTACTGCAGAACTACATGGTTGCTGTATATTATGGAGAAAATTATTCATTATCTTTTCTAAAGTTAAACAATATTCTAACTCTAATTGCTACATTACAGAGATTGTAAAAATCAAATTTGTTCAGTTTTCAGAGAACTACAAAGTAAATTTTTAAGACTACACACAACAAACTAACTTCACACAGTAAAAACTGATATTTATATTGCCAAACTAAATTCCCTGTTTTTACTCTTAAAAAAGAAATGTTCTCATACCTAAATCAAAAAACTAAATCCTAACCCCGATTAGTGTTTTTTTTTTTCCAGGAATTGTTTTTTTTTTTTTTTTGGATTCCTTTCCTGGTACCAGGAATCAAACTTACAGCCTTGCACTTGCCAGGCAGGCGCTGTGCCACTGAGCTAAATCCCCAGACCCATTTCCAGGAATTGAACTCAGGAACTCACGCTTGCCAGGCAGGCACTGTACCACCAAGCTCTATCCCCAGCCCAATTAGTGTTTTAAAAGTACATGAACAGGAGGAATGTAGAACACTCAGCAACCTACGGCAACTTCTTTTAATCACTTCTTAACATTTGCATTTTTAAAAAGAAATCAGACAGGAAAATGTCATGGCAAAGTCTGGATTTTAGCTTGACGTCCTTTCTTTAAATTATCAGGGATATAAAAAATAACAGTTAAACACTTACCTTTAAAAATCATTTAATATTTCATTTTTAAATTTATGAGTATTTTTAAAACCTTCCCAACTGCTATTTGAGGAAATTAAAATTGTAAAAGATAATTTGGGGTAGATAACTGTTTCATATGTTAGATCACAGTTACTGTATTCTCTTGTATTTACCATACAGAGCACTGTAATGCCTTATCTACTTCATCTGCAGTGTCCTAAGACAACAATGTAATGGACACAGGGAATCGATGGGAGAAGAGACTTAAAAAGAATATATGGGGGAATACAGAACAAATTTACACCATCCACAAACCTGCTTAGTATCCTCGTAAAGAGCAAAAGCCTTCTGTCATTGAAAGAAAAAATACATAAACCGTGGCACAGCCCTGAAATACACACTACAGGTTGCAGACCAACTGCTATCATTCAGGAGTGTAAAGACAAACAGAAGTCTAAGTAGAAGTCCTTAGGCTCCATAGGGCAAATCTGTACAATTCTCTGAAGAAGAGAACCCTGCTTCTTTTCCTTTGGCAAAAATAATAATGGTAGATCCAGTTGTTATATATGATAGCAACTTTAAATTCTTATCTTAAAGTGACAGTCCCACCAAGAGAATAGTAAACCAAAATTTCTCCATAGTTGCACTTTAATTGTATATTTTTCCTTTCATTGTACATTGTAATTGTATATAATCCCACTAACTTACAAAAATGCATAAGAATTACTTAATTATCTAATTACAAGCTAGGTTATCTGATTTTTAAATTTTTACAATTAACAAAAATGTATTGACTGCTTTGTGTTATGTATGTATGTATGTATATATAGATAGATAGAGGAAAAAGACTAGAATCATACATACCAAAAAGGTAACAATGGTTTTGATATCTTAGTGGTTTAAATTGTTTTTATTTTCTCCTTCATATTTTGTTTTTTATCAAATTTGTACAATAGACATCATGAGAGATGTTTAAAATAATTCAATCTTTACATATCTCTCCTAGAATGGTACTAAAAAGAGATAGTATTTTTATATTTGGATTGGGGCCCAAATTTTTAGAAGGACCAGAATTCTTACCATTAAGGTTTACCTTAAATGGATTTCCATGGCAATGCTCAAACTGAATTATTTTATAATCACCATATTCCACAATTCAGGAATAGCTTTCTAGTTTTTCATGGATTTTTATCACTAAAACTATAAAAATGGATAAGAGTTTATAACCTTTATGTATTCTTTTAACTTATCATTTTCTGCTTCCTTTTTATTAATTTGGAGTTGCAGTCGTTCATGTACTACTTTTACTGATTGAGAAAAACGGTTTGCTTTCAAAGCATTTGCCTAGAAGAGAGAAGAGAAAATGGGAAAAAAAGTTATTTACTATTTCCCACCAACACTTTTAATTTTACCACACTCCAATCACAATTGCAAAGGCTTATAAAAGCAAAATACTTTACACAAACTAATGCCCTATCACAAACTTATTTTATACAAAACTAGGGAGGACGTTTCTCCCCACATTTTATTTAATGCGTCTTGATAATAATCTTTTGCAAAAAAAATTTTCAGTCTCTACTCAGTAAAATTATAGGTATGTCTAAAATACTCCTACAAACACAAAAATTCTTTGATTTGTTCCCAAATTGAAACACAATATAATTTTATAAGTGTTCTTAAATTGTGCTGATTTATATCAAGTACACTTTTAACTACAAAACCCTAAAAACAACCAAAAAAAACTTTTTAAAAGCTGAGAAAAATGAAGCTATCTTTGAAATATTAAGCTTATAAAATATTCCAAATAAACTAAATTGTCAAAAAGCCTTTCCTGTTCCTTTCTTTCATTTACTTCTAAGGACATAGGACCAGGATGGGATAAGGGAAGAGGGAGTCTGTATTAAGAAAATGTGGTGACTTAAGTTCAAAAGCTCAAAATTTGCTTACCTTTTCATTCTGAAACAAGCAAGAAAGTTCCTGAATATAATTCTCCTTTTCAAGTACCTTCTTCTTAAGATTCTTCAGAAAACAACATAAAAGAAATTTCCATCTGAGACAATATTGACTAATTTCATACCAGCAAAAAAAGTCAGAAGGAATGGACAGAAAGTAAAGAATCACTTACAGTGTTTTCACTTTCGTTATCAGTTAGATTCTTTAACAACATGCTGGGTAAATTGTCTCCTGTCTGTGAAGAAAGGAAGTTATAAATCAGTGTCCACAGTTACACCTCTGTATATAAAAAAGAAGCAGGAAGTTGAATAAGCACCACTCAAAAAATTAATAGAGACCACTATATACAGTTCAGACTCCTAAGAGAGTTACTATCAGAAATATTTTTGTCTAAATGTTCCAAATCCTTTCTTGGCCATGACTTATGAAATCAGTTCATTTATTGAATTAATTCCAAGAGAAAACCACTAAAAATGTAGGCCAACAACATTTAAAAATCACAAAAACCCTATTACAAAAGAACTTCAACATACTACCTTTTATACATAGGCGAAAATGATAAACACCCTAAATTCTAGCAATAAGAAATTTCTCAAAGAAAGACAGCAAGTTAGTAACAGAATTCTATGTAGCGATTTAAAATGAGACCATGGGGAATGTTTGTTTATTTTTGAGGGTCAGGTTCCTACTTAAGAACATCAAACTATAAGTTCCTTTAAATCCAAAATACAGATATATGCACATAGTGCACAATTCTACACACAATTTCAGAGGGCTATGGGGTCCACAGAGCTTAGTTAAGAGTCCTTTCTATTGAAGAAATATTTAGTAGTTAAGGAAATACTGATAAGACAACGTAAACTACAAAAGTGAGGTCATAAGACAATGAGAATAGCATGACCTCATTTTTCTAAGATAATATATATTATATATATACACAAACAGCACATACACAGTAATAGAATAAAAGACTACAAGTATATACAACATAAATTTAATAGAGCTTAATAGTGACTTTTCACTGACTATTGACATCAAAAGAATTATTACATTTTTGTTTATTTAGATTTCTGATGGGCATATAACTTTTTAATTATAAATCTGTTATCTAATATTATATAATTTTTACAATTCTGAGAAAATGCCATCATAATAAAGAGGCAAAAGGGAGTCAAGATTTTGTTACTCAACATTTTTCAAACCGGGCGTGGTGGCATCTGCCTGTAATCCCAGCACTCGGGAGGCTGAGGTAGGATGATCATTGCCAGTTTGAGACCAGCCTGGGCTACCAAGTGAGCTCAAGCCCAGCCTGAACTGCAGAGTGAGACCTTGTCTCAAGAAGACCAAAAGAAAAATTTTTTTTCAGCTTCTTACAGGTTAATCTTGTCAGGTATAGTTGTACTAAGACTCAAAAGATGTGATAAGCAAAAAGAAGTAAAAATTATTGATATGGAGATATTATCTCTAATCACTACATTATAATTTACATAAAATTTCAAAAGTTTTATAGACCTCAAATTAAGATCTTCAGGTTAAGAATCTTGATCTTGTGTAATTTCTTTATTTGGCAAATGAGAAAAAATAGTTAAGAAGCAAACAGTATTAAATTGTTCTTTTAAATACTCTTACTTGACCATAGCACATTTCAGCGATGGTGAACCTTTTAGGGCCAAACTGCAATCCAAAACCCACTTATCTATTGCAGAGTGTCAACACTGCGATTAAACCTGAATACCCAAGTTTTAGTTTAGAAAACAAAAACAAACAACTCTATGTTAACACCTTTTGTCTTAAGAGAGAAATGCAATAACACCGTGCCCTAGGTTGGCCATCACTGCCATACTTCATCCCTGCATCGCTGAGGTCAGGCTTTAGTTTTTTTGTATGTTGGAGGAGAGGCTCTGCAACAGCGTCTCCTACTGGTGAGGTGGCATCCTCTCATTCCACTTTTGCGGCGCTATGCTGGGTAAGATGGGCTGAGACTAGACTCTGCGTGCGCACAGTGCAGAGCAGGGCAAAGTGGAGAAGCACTGCTCCAGACCCAAGGAAACCCTTCGGTAGTTAAAGGGAAAGTGTGTGTGCATGAGTGTGTGCATATGTGAGTATGTCTGAAGCATGTGTGCCAAGCAATTCCACTCCTGGGTAAATATACAAAGAAATGAAAACATATCCAGACTACAGCGCTGTAAAGTAATGTGCATAGCAGCTGTTTTCACAGTTGCCAAAACATTAAGATTCCTATTTGTTGAAGAAATATTTAATAAATTACTTTTGCATTTAACACTCTATCGTCAATAAACCCAATATCCATTAACTGGTGAGTGCATAGGTAAAAGTGTACATATGCCCATAAGTAGAAAATTATTCAGCAATAAAGAAGAATAAAGTCCTAGATAAGGCTGTAACATGGAAGAACCTTCAAAATATTCTAACTGAAAGAATATCGTCATGAAAAACCACGTATCATGATTCAATTAATATAAAATATCCAGAAGAGGCAAATACAGAGCCAGAAATAGACAGTGATTGCCTAGAGATCCTTTAGGGGTGAAGATACAGAATTTCATTTTAAAGTGATGAAAATGCTCCAAAATTGATTGTGGTGACAACTGCACAACTCTGTGACATACTAAAAAACAATAATTTAATATTTAAAGTGGGGGAAATATATGATATGTGAATTTTATCTTCATAAAGCCTTTACCCAAAAAGAAAAAAAAGGGAATATATACCTGTATCTCTATCTATATAGATAGATAGAGATATATATAACACCTTAGGACACTGCTATTAAGAAGGATTTTTTTAGACAAGATCCCAAAATCACAGGAAACAAAAATAGACAAGTGAGATTATATAAAAATATAATGCTTCTACACAGTGAAGGAAATAAACAAGACCACAGAGAGAAAGTATTTTCAAACTATAGCTCTGGCAAGAGGCTGATATCCAGGGGAAAAAAGAATAAATAAATATTTAAAAATAGAGCTACAGAAAATACACAAATGGCCACTGGTACATGAAAAAATGCTCGATACCACTACCAACTAGGGAAATGCAAATTAAAACCAGGACGAATATCACCTCACCCCAGTAACAATGGCTATGATCAAACAGATAAAGACAAGTGCTGTCAAGGATGTAGAAAAAGAGGAAATCTGGTACATTGTTGCTACGAATGTGAATGAGTACAGCCACTCTGATAAACAATATTGGAGGTTCCTCACAATTGTAAAAACAGAACCATTTTTGTGACCCTAGCAATCCTACTGTTCAGTATACATCCAAAGAGAATTAAATCAGCATGCTGAAGAAAAGTCTGCAGTCCTGTGATTCCTGTAGCACTACTCACAAGAAAAGGAGACAAACTTTCTGTGTCCATGAAATGACGAATGGATTAAGAAAATGGGTACATATACACAATGAAATATGAGCTAACCCTAAAACTTAATAAAAGCCTGATAGAAGCAGCAAGACCACGATGTTAAGTGAAATAAGCAAGGGATAGCTGCATTCATAGAAGCTGAGAGTAGAACAGTAGTTACCAGCAGCCAGGGAGAGCAGTGGAGAGAGAAGGAAAGGGTTGGTCAATGGGTACTAAATTACAGTCAGTAGTAAGTTCCCGGGGGCTATGGCACAAGGGGTGACTATAGATAGTGATGATGTACTGTGTATTTCAAAAACCAGAAGATTCTGAATTTTCATTAAAAAGATAAATGTTTGAGGAGGTAGATATGCTTAAACATTACACAATGTACACATGTATCAAAAGATTACATGCTACCCTAGTCATATGTAAAATTTTTTATGTACCAAACAAATTTTTTAAATCTTAAAAATAATATATGTATATAAAATATAATTATGCAGGACCACAAACTCTAAGAATATGTATTTTATTGCAAGTAGCTAAATGAAGTATAATAAATAACGCAAGTCTTTTGGATAGGAAGTAAAAATCTGTTTTCTCTCATCTAAGTACTAACCAGGCCCGGCCCTGCTTAGCTTCCAAGAAAAATCTGTTTTCTATAAAAATGTGTCATGTTTTCAAGAACTATTTATGAAACATTAAAAGTAGGGGTCAGTTTCATGACTACCATTGCAAACACAAATTCAAAGAATTATTTCCATTTCAAATATATCACTGTCTTCATTTTTATAGCCACAGAAATAATATATTCTTCAAGTGAAACACATCGTTATTAATTAAGTGCTTAGCACTGCTGCCTTACTTGTCTGTAGTCTGCCTTTCCAAGACGTTCCAAAGCTAATTTTACATGTTTAAAGGTATTTAATTCTTTTGTTAATATTTCCTTCTGTTCAGAAATCCTCTTCAAATTCGATGCAGAAACATTGGCCTGACAAGGTATAAGAGCCAGGTAAACATTTTAAAACACAGTATTAGGTAAAATGCTCTAAAATATTACCAACTGAAATATCTTATAAGACCCTTGAAAATAAGTAACTCTCAAAAATTCTAAAAAAATTAAATTAAATATCACCATTGAAAAATTACTTTTCCCATCAACAAAGCCATTCTTTTGCATATAATAATAGTAAACTGTGCCAAACTTAACAGTAATAGTAGAGAGGATCTGTTACATAGTGCATTAAATTAAAACACAAATAAGGACTTAAACTCCAAAAGTATTACAGTATTTATTCTAATAAAAGTTATAAGATACTATTTTTTGTCCCTAACTGAAACTTTAACATGTTAAAACTTTAAAATAGTTTTATTTCCAAATAGCACGATAGAAAAGAAAAATATCTTATCTCTTAGAAGATTTACTTGTAAATTCACCCTTGAGAAGAGCTGATACTCTAGTTAAAGCTCAGGGAAATCAAGAAGCCAAACATACAGTGTCCAGTGGAGCTTCTCACCTAGCGCAGGCCTGAGATTACTGTATCTTTAGGGAAAGAACTGGAGTTAATGACACAGGAATAAATAAAACACTGATGAATTACCATTTTTAAGCATCGAATACCCACATGTAAGCATACCTACTTATGAGATCTCAGTTAATGTATTCTGTGCATTCTATCTTTTCATTTTATTAGATGTCATGAATCAAATACTCACATTTGCAAAATCAGTCTCTTCAATGGTGTTCTTAAATAATGGCAAAAGTAATTCTACAGAACAGGTCGCCAACTCAGCTTCCTTTAGTGTTGCCTCCAATTCAGTCTTTTCATCCTTTAGGATGTCTTGCTTCAAGCTAATTACATATGCACAAGTAAAATTTAAATTTAGTCTACTACATATTAGTTACACTTTTTATGTTAATATGGAACAATTAGTTCTATAAGCTGCTCTACAAAATATGATGACGAATTATCACAGAAAATGTGCAAACTTTTTCCTAACTTCCACAATTTTTTTACACTCTCTATACAAGGAAAGGTAATTTTTCTTAAAATGTAAGGCTATGTAAACCACAAAAGCCGTAAGAGTAGTGCTTAACTGTGCTGTTTAGTAATTATTCAATATCCCCTCTCTAATTTATAAGACTAAGTATGTGAATGTGTCTTTTTTTCCTTCTGCTCCTTTTCCCTTATTCCAAATTTTAAAAAGTATATGTCTTTGTTCTTATTCTCAAACCTTTGCATGAAACCTACTGTCCTTCACAAAAATTTCCTCCAAAAGAATGAATAAGCTAAACAAGTGGAACACAAAAACTACAGGCTTTCCAGATATCTCAAAATCCTTCACACTTGACTCTGGAATACGTGCCTTAGCACTCAAAACAAGGGTGCTAATACCTGCACTCTTGCTTGTGTTTACCTGGCCTCTCCCCTACTGGGGGAAGAAAGTGTAATGATTCAGGATGACTCTCTAAGCCCCTAGACACAAGGCATCTTGACCTATCTGCAAACACCCAAAACTTACAGAATGGGGTTCAAAACTTTGAAGAGTAACTCAGAAACAGGGGTGCAACACTTTTTTAACCCCTAGGAACAAACAGTGGTAGAGAAAAATCAGAGGAGTTAGTGAAGGAGGAATATTTGACAATATTCAAGGTTCAAACTCCAGCACTGCAAAAAAAGGAGGCAGGGCTCAAGAGTCTGACTTTCGAGTATACTTTTGAAAATACCGTACTTCGTTTCACTCTATTTTTCTTTTATGTAATTGTAAGTTATTTGAATGGAAAAATCTATGTACTATAGAACTATATTTAAAGGAACTTTCTCAATATGAATAAAATTCCAAGGGACATGAACACACTGTAGCTCTAGTAGGCAGCTTTTCTCTTCTGTACAGAACATAGTATAATGGCATTGTACAGCTATGTCCAAACATAGATTCTGTTAGTGAGTCTCACTGGCTTAACATAAAGGGCCAAAGAAGATTATGGTGATAAATGACACCTATCCCTCATTAAAAATCATGGGCAGAAAATAAAATATTTTAAGAGTGTTATTTTGGGGAATAATGATGTATGTAAATAACTAATGTATTTCCCATTCTAAAGAAATAAAATATGACGTGTTTATCATATAGCGATATACCAAATGATAGTGAATTAGTACTCACTACCTATATTTCCTCTATTTCATATTATTGATATTTCCATTTACTTAGTTAAGACTTACTTTACACATTTTAATGGATTTGGTTATCATTTTTCATTGGTTTCATTAAGACTGAAAAACCTAGTGAATGTCTGGAAAACACAGTACAGTTGTATCACAGTAAATAGTTTAATGAATTTTAAATTTGAAAATAATAGTTTTGAAAGTATACAACATTTTATTCATAATGTACATTAGAGACAATATATGAATCCCCAAAATCAGATTAGATTTCCCCCGATAATGATGAGAATACCAGGTGAGCTGATTTTCACTGGCACTCCGTGGTAAATGTTCTTTCTCTGTTGTACTTTTAAGATGGGCAAAGAGTTCTTCAGACTGACTGCCATGATTTGTTGGTTTCTCCATAAATTCAGTAAATGGCTTCACAAGTGGCTTCAACAACTCCACACAAGCTGAAAGCTAAGAAATATTTCAGTTATTAAACTTATTTCAGTAGATTCTTTTCTGTCTTTACTTTATAAGATAAAGATCCTCACGTGATGTAAAGATTTCAAAGACAAAAATTATAGCTCCTACTCATTGTTACACTAACTCAAAATAGTATCAAAATTGCATAGTACTATCACTCACTGATCGCCAATTTCCAAAAGACCCACCATTTTCTACATAAGTGTGTAGAAGTCTTTACTAGTCTAGGTCTTAGAGTACTACAGTAAAATTCACAACCAGTAGGACTAGAAAACAGACAAATAAACCATAGGCCAACTATGGTCCTCAGTCCCACTAGGACCATCCAATAAGAAATACAGTAAAAGTTTGGATTTGAGTAACTTGTTCCGTGAGTGTCCTGCAAAACAAGCAAACATTTCTAATACATTTTAACTTCATAAGCAAGAGATGTTTTGTAATATTAACAATGTGCCAAACCTCACATGGTCACAACTGAGACAGTGGTTCTCCTCCCTCCCTCACCTCCTTTCTCCCTGCAGGACTGTGGGAGATCAGCCCGGAAAAGTAAGAGGTTATGGTGATCTCATTTGTAGAGGAAGAGGAGGAAAAGGCAGAGAAATCTCTCACTTCAAATGAGATTAGGGACATGTGTACAATGTGGGAAACAGTGCAAAATTCTGTAGAAAAGTACCATCCAAACGAAGCTGTAGTAGTGCAAGCAATGAATCTGTTTAATGACAATGTCACATGTCCATGAAATCCTTGTTAAAGCTGCATGAAAAGAAAAAGATTCCATTGAACCAATAGATAACAAATCTTCTGTTAGTGAAAGTCATCCGACACAATAACCCTCCTCTCGACTCTGTTACACCAACCACTAAGGTCTTTAAAGATAAGTGTGGGTTAATTTATTTTTCTTTATATTTTGTGTTTTCTTTATTACTTTCTAGCATATTACAGTATTGTAATCAATTTTATACGAGTATTTGGGGGTTGTGGAATGAATCATCTGAGGTTCCATTAATTCTTCTGGGGAAATTCACTTTGATAGACATGTGCTTTGGATCACAAGCATATTTCTGGAATGAATTATGCTCACAGTCCAAAGTTTTACCCTACAGTGTATGTTATTTATGCCTATAATCACAGAAATTCCACATACTTTTCAAAGTATTTGACAATAAAAGTTACAAATATAGGATATTCTTTTGAAAGTGTCTTTCAAAATTACTTTTATTTATTTCTATTTCCTGCTCAATGTAGGATACTTTGTGGTGATAATGAATAGACAGTGACAGTACTTCCAAATTTTACTAATCTAATTGTTTTCATTCAAACTTGGAGATGTTACTCTTAAAATACAAATGTTCATGAATTTCTTCAAAATTTTCCACATTTAAATGGTAAGTTGGACCTTTTGTAACCATTAAGGCTGTGTTTCCAGAATTCTAATAATATATGGAAATGTGTCTCCCTAATTTCCTTTTATGTTTATACAAAAATCAAAGGCTGTGTTTAAAGTATTTGGTATTTTTACAGTTACAATTTATTTTGTATTTCTGTATTAAAATGCATTAAGTTCAAGATTTTCAGTATTAGGTAGATATGAAATTATAGGTGAAAAATTATTCACAATATTGAATTAACAATTCTAACCCAAGTCCGAGTATGGTGGCGTACACCTGTTGTCTCAGCACTTGGGAGGCTGAGGCAGGAGGACTGCTGCAAATTTGAGGCCAGCCTGGGCTACAAAGTTAGTTCAATGCCTACCTAAACTCTTCTGTCTGACAAAAAAAAAAAAAAAAACCTGATCCAAAATATATGTAAAAATGCATTTATTTTTGTCTGATGGCTCTATACCCTGCTGAGACAAATATTTAATACACAGGCCAACTAATACTCCTGTTTTTTCAATATCAGCAACTGAAATCCAAAGTGAACAGCTAAATAACTTACACAGAACCCAAGATGATCCTTTGGATGCTGAAAATATGTCACATCTATTATTAGGGCATAACAGTATTTTCAGCTATTTATCTCTAAAAGAATTAAAAATACACTGATATACAAAAATCAAATAAATAGCCAAACATAAAGGCTAAAAAGGAATAGCCAAACATAAAGGCTAAAAAGTGACAGAAATCACTATGCCTTCATCAAGGGTTTGTTCAGTTCCAATCGTTACCACCCTAAGAGACAACCTGGTAGAGTATTTGTCTTTCATCCATTCGTTTAAGTACTTCTCAAGAAAGAATGTCTGATTTATAGTCAAATCCTCAGCACCTACCAGCTGTGCTTTTACTCTAAAATAAAAACCATTTTTCTTTTAATCCCCAAGATGAATCAAGGGATGAATAAGTAAAAAAAAAAAAAAAAGCAGTATAGTCATCATATCCATTAAGGGCTCTGAACCTATGTTCTCTCCTCTATTTATTGCTTTTACCCTGCTTGTAGGTGCTGAGAATTGCTCAAAACCTAATTACTTGCAGAATTTTTGCAACTCATATTAAGGTTGCCGTAAGTTGAAAACTACTAACACAGAGCCCAGGGGAAAAGCATCATTAATCCCACCCAATGGACAGATGCCATTTTAACCTTTTTACTATGCTCATCTCTTTGATTCTCATTCATTTCTATAGGCAAGCATACTAAATAATATAAACAAAGCTTTTTTTTCACATCTTGGGACGCTTGAGATACAGGAACCTCAACTTTAGTACACATCAACTGTGGGAGTAGCAGAAGAAAAAGACAAGCAAGATATTAATAACTGTTACAAATTATAAACGCAATCATATTCTTACTGCAAGCAGAAAAGTATCATACTAATTTAATGCAGAAGCAGACAGGCTGGATGTAGGGGCACTGCGATACCCAGTAGAAAGATGGAGCGCGGCTGGGCAGCAGGACTTTGTCTCAGAATGCAAGTTACAAAAAGAAAGGTAAGACAAAAGGAAGAAAGAAGGGAATGAAGGGAAGAAGAGAGGGAGAGAGGGAAGGAGGGAGGGGTGGCGGGCTGAGCTCAATCCCCAGAACCACTGAGGGAGAGTGCCTTCTGTACTGGTTCTTTTAACCATAATTAACAAAAACCTACTCCGAGACCCTCAAACATTTGAAACCACACAGACCATGCGATGATACAGAACTGTCTTTGAAACAGACTTTTTTTGAGACAGGGTCTCACTATGCAGTTCAAGCTGGCCTTGAGCTCACTTTGTAGCCCAAGCTGGTCTCGAACTCGCAACGAACCTCCTGCCTCAGCTTCCCGAGTGTTGGGATTACAGGTGTGCGCCATGAAATAGACTTTATGAATACAGCCAGCCTGGTTATAGTTATTTGCAATAAACCACAGGCACCATACACTAACCACCTTGTATTCTGTATTTGGTGTCATCTATGTGACACTGTTTCCTTAATCTCCTTTACTACAACAACCCCAAAATGACCATTAGTGTCCCCATTTTATACATGAGGAAACTAAAACCAGGAAGTTTAAGTGACCTAAGACTCAATGACAGAGCTGGGAGCGAAAGCAAGCCGGCCTCTAGAGCTTTCTAAGACACTGTGCCAAAAGGGAGACTTCAGTAAGAACCCAGAGAGTGACGGCGAACCTTTTAGATTCCAAGTGCCCAAATTCCAACCCAAACCCCATTTATTTATGGCAAAGTGCCAATGCCCCCGCTCTGTGCGCTGTTTCCCGGTGCTCCGATGCTGGAGCAACGCTCCTGAGCCTGCACAGGGGGCTCTGCGTGCCCGCTTCGGCACGCGTGCCACAGGTTCGACACCACTGACAATTCTGGAGAAGGACCCAGCGCTACCCGGAATATACCTCACTTAGACAACGATCAGGTAGTTCGGTGGGCGAGTAAAAACCAGCAGAACAATTTAAAAAGTACAAGTTCTGAAAGAATTACGAATACTCTGTCTCTTGTTCTGGACAGGCCCACCTCGCGATAAGATTTACCCTAAGGTCTCGGGGACCACACTCTCCCCAGGGTTAAAAGTCCTGCCTTCTTTGCCCTGGGGAAAGCGCGAGGCTGAAAGGTGCTGGGACCAGCCAGGGTGGGCCCGAAGACTTTCAGTTCTCAGGCCGAGCCCTCAGCACCCGCCCCGCAGCAGCCAACCTTCCCCATTTGGAACTCAGCTCCCCAAGCCGCAAGCCACCTCCTCTACAGCATCAGCACGTCGCCATGACATCAGCACGTCGCCATGACGTCATCGCGTCACCGTGCCGTTGGCCAGCCGCGGCTGGGCGCAAGGAGAACGAGCGTCCGCGGCTGGCGTTCTGCTGTAGTAACGGGCGGCCCGGCCAGCGTACCTGTGCTCTCCAGCCCTGGGTCAACTAGGAAGGAGCGGGCCGCAGGGGGCTCTAGAGTTGGGAGGAAGGCTAGGAAAGGAGGCAAGGCACGCCAGGTGAGAAGCAGGAAAATTCTTAGAACTGCTCTCGATGGACGAGTGCCCACGAAGGCGTAGCGCCCAGCAGAGGACTGGTAACCGGCTAGTGGCTTCGGTGGCAACGGCCGCCCCGCCCCTTCCGTCGGTCCGTAGCTGGCGCTGCCGATTGGCCCGAGTTCCGGCGGGCCGGCGCCGCCTCCGCTGCTATTGGCCGGAGTGAAGGGGCGGTGCCGGAGGGGCGCTTTGTCTCTGCCCCTCCTGTTGCCTTGGTGAGCTTCTCAAAGCTTTTGTTTTATGAAAAGGGCAACGCTTGTGCGTAGTTGCTGAAAATCTTAACTGAGCTTAACCAGAAAGGGAAATAAGGCCAATTTCGAATTTTGTCTAGGTCTGGAAGTGCTCTGCTTTTAGTTTTTCTAAAACGGGGATTTGAAAAAGCTAAGGCCATTGCACTGAAAGAAACCTCGTTTTCAATGTGTGTGGCCTTTTTTTGAAATCTAAGACCGCCTTTGGGCCCTAGGGTTTGTTTTTTTTTTTTTTCTGTTAAATGAGGGAGCCCTTTGGTGTTCTCCAAAATTTCACATAGTATCACACGTAAAATTTATAAACTCCTGAACAAGTAAAAAGAGATTTTATTTGGAAAAATCATTCGGTGCCTCTATGCCTTGTGCCTTTTAGGCTGTATATTAATTCTGTACTTAGTTCATATATAGAGCAATAATCAGCAGCATTTTAACCATACCTGATTTTACCTACTGATTTTATTCTTATTTCCTATCGATGATTCCAGCAACATCTTTTTCCCCAGCACAGTGATGGTCTAGAAGAGAGTTCATGAGATTTAAAGAAGAAAAAGTTCCTCAGGCATAATTGTTCCTTCTTTGCAAATGATAAAAGGTGCTGGGGATTGTCATTTAACTACCACTGATGGACGTTTGGCACGTCAAAACTAACCTCTAGACAGTTTTCTCAGAAAAAAAAAAAAAAAAAAAGTGGGACGAGCAGAGTTCAGGTAAAGAACATGAACAATTCTGGCCTAGTGAGTGCTAGCTAGGCTTGTAGCTAACTTTGCTAACATAAGTTTAAAAATAACTGCTCACAGTAGTTAGGCTCCGTTTAAAAATATTTAAATTGTGTTGGCATGCAGTATCACTAACTTTATGACATTCAAAGAAAAACATTCACCAAATCTGAAGTCAGACTTGTCAGTGAGGATATAAAATTCTCAAATTGACTAATTTAACTGGATTGTCCAAGTAAAGTCATCTAATCTGTTCCTAAAATCTGTTTAGATAATGAATTTTTGGATAGAAAGAACTTTATTATTATTCTAATTGGAAAACAGAGTTCATTCTAGACTATCCCAGAACTGTCGTTTCCCCCAAAATTATTTAAGACACTCAATTACTTACAAAAAAAAAAAAATCAAGATTGCCACATAATGAAAGTATAGACCAGCATGGTTACTCCTAGGCCTGAATAGTAAATACTACATTTAACTGTACATGCACAAAAGAAACCATGGAGAATACATAAACATATGCTCTTGGCTGTGTTCCAATAAGACTTTCTTTACAAAAATACTTGCTTTACAAAAATACATAATGGGCTAGATTTAACCCACAGAACATTATGCACAGATTCCTGATATAAAGCATGGAAAATACCAAGTACCTAGTAAACAATCAACTCATTAGTTACATATTTGAGTGTAACACACACTACCACCTGTTGGATGGGAAATGTGATTGCCTCCCTCATAGCAACAAATATGTATGAATGACAAATGGGCTGATTTTTTAAAAAATTTCTTGTGCAGTGATTGCCAGGAAGATATGAAATTGCAGCCAGATTTCACCTGAGGCTATCTCTGGTAACTTGGTGAAATTGGTCAATAGCTGAAAACCTCTCCCCATCCTCTCCATGTGGCCAGTATAAGCTGCTTCTCATGGCAACTTATAGCAAGAATGAATGTCCCAAAATACAGAAAAAGAAGCTGAAGCTCTACTAAAGATGCATAAGGTTGCATATTTTAATAGTGTGTTCCTTTTTATTGCGGCATAGTATTCCATTGTATAACACAATTTATTATTAATTTTCCATTGATAGACAATTAGGTTTCTTGCAGCCTTTAATCATTGTAAATTAAGGCTGCTGTTCATGACATTCTTGTAAAAGGCATTTTATAAATGCATGTTTTTATTTTTCTTTCCTAAGAATGGAATTGCTAGTCATGAGCATTACATGTACTTAATTTTATAAGAAAATACTGTGCCCATCTTAAATGTGCTGCACCAGCATTG